TTTATTTCAAAATACAATTTACCACCACCACATCTTCCCTATTTGCCAAGTGAACGTCAGTTGTACCCTGGAAGGTTTGCAGTGGAAGGTATTTCTCAGTCAAGTCTTCCTTTGTGGTGTCTCGGCGTGCCTTATGGACAAGCTTACCTATCACCGTCCTCTGACTAGACTGAGAATTGGTCTCAACCAGTAACTTTTTTAGTAAAGTGCAGGCACCCCTCCTTTTAATCCAACCATCAACAGAAAACAAAATACCTCATCCCATTGCTTCTTGCACAACCACCACCGAATCCACCATCCGACAAAAAAACATAAGAACTGGTGTCGAATCTCTACGTCTAGACGTGCCACAATGAGCGTTGTACGAAAGGTCTGTAATGAGGAAGAAATTCAATTCTAGGGCCCATTGTCATAGTCTCTTCCCTTTAGTAGTCCTACAGACATACTTCCACACATGATAGGACGCATTAAAGTCACCTCTAAAAGGCAATGGCTCATCCTTAGCGAGATTGGCCGCCTTACTCAAAATAGATTTGGAACCCTGTTCCGTGTCCCTGAAGCTGCTGTACAAGTTAAGCAGGAAAACGCTCCTTTCACCTGCTCCTTGCCGACCTGAAATCAACTCTTCCATATTATATTCATTTCTGCGTTATGCCATGTGAAGATCATGCCTAAAATACGCCAACGTTCTGCTAATGAGCGTTGGGAGCCCACTGCTTTGCTCATTATCTCATACTTCTGCTTTAAAACCGGCTAATGATACCTTAGATGTCATAGTTTCTTGCATTATGATAACCTGAGGTTTCACACTGGCTGTTTTAAGAAACTGTTGAAGGAACGCCTTTTTATGATTAGACCTCCTGACAAGTATTGAGAGATTGAACCCTACTGCTAAATACTTGATGAACTATTTGATGAAGCCACTACCTTGACTATGTAAATTTGGGTTACTCATGTTGAGTCTAATTCAACAAGAGAACTTGTCCTGCTAGGCCAGTGGCTGAGAGCACTCCCACTTCATAACAAGGACCACCAAGTGCTGAAAATATGCTTTAATTTTGCCGAATCTCTGATCCATGATTATTTCTTTGTCTTTTATGTGGTGTGATCTAATATTCTCTGATTCACAGTTTCCTGCATTGTGACTATCACTTCTTCAAACTCAGAACCTACCTTGGCCTCAGCCCGCAGAGTCGAGAGTGCCCTCTTTTTCAGAGCCGGTGTGTCCTCGTCAGCCCCATTTTCTTTAGAAACCTCCACATGCCTTGGTACCTCAATTTCGTCATCACGCTTGCTACCCTGACCTAAGCTTGCATTGCCACCGTACTATAGGCTCAGCTATCTTTCTTACAAGCCTTTCAATGGCTTTTTTAGTCTATGATTCTTTTTCTCCAATTGCGCGAATTCTGTCTTTATCCCAATTACCACATACATTCTCTTGGCTCTGCTCACACGTTCGACCAGTGATGGGTCCACCATTGACCTCATCAGCCGAGGTTGTTTGCTTCAAGCTGCACTACTGCGTCTACAAATGAATTCAGAGCGGTTCCTTGAGGCTGTCCTCCCACATGACGACCGTCGTCTCGACTTCGAACTGCTTCGAGAGCACAAGCCTTTCTCAGGGCGTTGAGAGACGCTTGCACGCTGCGCCGCCTTGACTGATTCTTGTTCCGCTGCTAGCTCCACCCTGGCTCGCTCCTGTCGGCTGAACGATTCCTATGTCTGCACTGTTTATCCGCCGTCAGGTGTCAGCCTCCACACAGCTTACAACAAGGCTTACAGTTATGGTCATTTGCACAATTCCTAGCACTGCATCCCCGGCATTCAAGGAGTCGAGTGCAGGACAGACATCCGCCCGATGTCCAAGCTTCTCACACACATAGCATAAGTTCATTTGCTCGAGGTACAGGTAACAACAGAACAAAGTTGGCCCATACCTTACAAAATTGGCCCCTTTTAGGCCATCGAACACAATAATTACCGAGTCTGTATTTTTGGCGCCTGGAGTCAGTGGATTCCGATCAATAACGATGTTCCACTCAAGTGCAGCAGGTCCGTCTATAATGTGCACATAACGAGTAACCATCCACATGACGAGTGACCATTTTACACGTAGTGCGTGGAGCAGTCTCTTGTGCACTAACTTCAAAATCCATGTCCGCCTCCCTTACTGATTTCACTCTGACATAGCGTTAGGCACTTCTTCTTTCTGGCGTACTAGCCGCCAAATTATGTTGCGTAATGTTGGAGCAAACAACATTTTCTTTAATCTGCTCCAAACATCCAAACATTTTAACCATGACATGCGCGTCTTGTAATTCACGACTACATACTATACGCTCATAGCGCGCTAGCGGCCGCTTGGCTAGCCCCACATACCAAATTTAGTATCACGTGACGTGAATAGATAACGAAGGTAACTGCCACGTTAAAACATGATACTGATAACATAATTGTCATGTTAACATAACCACATGCTACTCTCACAGAGCGCTCGTGGCCGTTTCGCTAACTCCAAATATGCCAAATTTGGTTTCACTTGATGTGAATAAAGGACGAAGGCACATGACACGTCTAAACATGACACTCATGACATGGAAGTCATGTATGGCATAATTTACTTCCACATTGTAACGTTGTGCTGATTTTAAAGTGACATATCACCTGTCGTCATTTGTGCTTCGGATATCTTTGGTTTCCACTGTACGTGGCATCTGCATATTTTTTTATGAAAAACTTCTAATGAAAGATTTTGCAGGGGGCGCTCATCGAACCACCACAACCCGTGTATTTGACCAATAAATATTAACAATGGACATGAAAGCTACGATGCTGAGATATGTATGAATGGACTAAGTGTACCGTAAGCTATTGTTATAGGGAGTTTTTGAATAGCGTACGACAAGTTAGCGGGCGCTGCCGGCGCAGCGTTTGCGTATCGGCTCCATATGAGTTTTCGAATAGCGTTTATCGCCCGCAAACGCTGACACACACTCAGGTTACCTCAAAGAGGCTTGGCGGGCCGTGCAGGATGCATGGTTCTATTTTTTTTTTTTGCGGTTGGACGCAAACACTGACCACTACATACAGCGTTTGAATACGCTGTTCGAAAACACCCTATAGCTGACACTACTGCTACAAATGAGTGTATAGAAGTCATATCTCCTCCATTTCATTCATTCATTCATTTATTCATTCACTGTTTATTCGCACAGAAAGATTGCCTAGATTAGAGAAAGTAAAGGCAGATTACCTCTGCCTAAGGTCTACCACCCATACATTTGCTCAAGTCAAGTGGAACAAAATATACAAATTTCATTTCTTGTCTTAAACGAGAGGACACAAAACTCGAACTCAAGAAAAATAATAGATTTCAAATCACACTTTTTGAAATAACCCATTGCAGTCATTACCAATCAGCAGTAGCAAGATAAAAAAGTGTACAAACAGTTGAAACCATGAGAAATATTTATACACAATACTAAGTATTGTACAGAAATGCATTTGAGAAAAAAAGAAAATGAGCGACTTTTAACAAGTATGAAAATTCATTTAGGACACTAAAAGAAACATGTATATTAGATATTACAATCATGGCTCATTACAAGTAAGAAAGTACATCTTGACTTCATTGTTCACAGTGTGTTTTAGTGTACGTGGTTCTAATAGTTCGGACACGCTATTTTCGTGTAGTAGGCAAATCATTTAGTATGTTATTGTATGTTTCTATACATTGTGCTAAATAAAGGTAATTGAAAACAATCAAAGCGTAGATAATTGGGAGTATCACTTTGGTAGCAATGCTTCATATACCTGCCAACGGTGTTTCTATTTTATTAGTGACATATATGCTGGTTTAAAATTGTATAATAGGTACACAGTCAGTATCTGAAGCTTGGTGAAAAGTAGAAGAGTATGTTTGTCGGGTTTCAGGCTTTCTATGTAGCGCACAGACCTTTTTTCTAAAACAAACAGCCTGTCTATATTGGAATTTTCAAGTTCTACCCCCAATAAAAGAGAGTAATGTATATGTGAATGAACTAAACAATTATATAACTGGAAGTAGCTAATGCGGTTGCTTGGACGAGTTGGTGCGACATGATTCACTTAAAAAACAGCACCAATAACGAGGGACAAGAAAAGAAGGAGACAGACAGTGCTGCTGCCTGTCTGCTTCTTTCCTTGTCCCTCGTTATTCGCGCTGCTTTTTATGTGAATATAAATGGAGCCTGAAGCAATTATCAACTAGGAACCTAAGCTTGTTTATAACAGGAATCGATTGAGGCATATTGGCGTGTATTTTTTTTTTCATTTGAGGTGTCCAGCTTAGGCTGCTCAATGAAAAGTACACTTAAAAATTGAACAAAGGGACCCATTGCATTTTATTATTTATAAACCAGAGAGAATTCTTGCAATGTTCACACTTGTTTTCGCTTCTAAATCAAATAAATTTTGTTTTAGTAACACTCAAGTGTAATTAGCTAGACATTTCTAAAAATTTAGCTATTTTTTTCAGCTCTGGCAACATACGACATCTATTTAGGTCGGAATTCATTGTTATAGTGACCGCAGTACGCTTGCGTTAAATTATTTTTCTATTATTTACAGTTTCCAGCATTTACATTTCGCTGGCTCCGTATTGTACCTCAACTAATTAGGTTGTAGAAATCATGACGAAAATTTTCTTTACAAAATACTTTGGCACTCCCATGATTATACCGTTTAATGCTCGCAAGAAATTGTTAGTACTCGTATTTGCGAATGTTCTCAAAGCTACCATTTGAACAATGCAATTACCTAATGTATCGCGTATACCTCATTCGATACGCATAATTCAGATGCCATTATTTATGTACAACGACCTACAAAGCATCGTCGGTGGAATATTGCAGGCGGAGCAAAGGTCAGAACGTTAACCACACCAATTCACAACGTCAAAATTGTTTTCACTTTGGGTAACCATTCAACAGAAGCAACAGTGCGGATAATGTAACACTCACACAGACAGGCGATCAGCGGCGAAGGTCAAAATTGGCGTTGTGCTGCTTCGAAACCTGTCACATGAGCCAGTCGAACCGACACTTGCTCGAGGAAAGAGCCACCTCCATCTTGCTTAGAGCGCAGAAGGCAGGAGCCGAGCAGCCACGAATGCGCGACTGTGCTATAGTCGGTGGCATGCCGACCACAGGTAACGGACGTATCGGCGCTTGCATATGTGCGTCACCGACAACGCCGCAGCCATGCGGTGAACGCGGCCGGAACAGCTTGCCATCGCCCTTGTTTTCTGCTGCTGCGTCGCATTTGTGGCGGCCTCTCCAGCAGATGTGCGGCCCCGAACCCAGGCGAGGGTTTCTGCTTTTTTTACTTCTTTTTTCGGTGGCATGCATTCTGTCGTACGTACGTGAGTTGCGGCTCCGACAACGCTTCCTCTTGCCAGCTGCGAATCTCCCTAACAGAGTTGCCGCGCTGCTCTCCGGGATAGCGCCGCGAGCGGCGAGTGAACGGAGAGTTATTGTCTATGACTACCACTGGGAGCCTGCATCTTTTGAGGCCCACGCAGTAAGTTCTTTCAAAAGGCTTCATCACACCAAAATGGTCCTGCAAACTGTCTGCAGTTCGAAAGTTCTGCAACGATGGTCATGTCTTTTGTGAGAGCACATCGCTCTTAGCAGGCAAAATCAAAGGAGAAGACAACATTTCAGCTGAACTAAAGATCTCAGCATAAATTTGAGAGAGAAAGTATGATCGCATCTTGCAGAGAGAAGGCAGTACTTCGTTAAAAAAAGAGCGCGCAAACGCTGATACAAGAAGTGAGTGAGGACGCGACAAACGCCTACTACCTAATAAAACAACGGCGGAAAAAAACGAAAGCACGAAAACGTATATGCCTATATATTATGCGAACTTATTCCTGGCACGCGTGGTAGTGTGCGTGAAAGTTTCTCTTTATGCAAGTCAATCGATGGTTGACGCGCGCATGCGCTACCGCTATTCACAATATGCCATGCCTCAAGCATCGAACGCTATTCTTATTTATGTGCCGGAACAAAATTGCGCACTTCTCGAGTTATGGCGTGCACTTACATTCTCCATTGTGTAAAAAAAAGACGAGACGTGAGCCTCCAGTTTGCATTCTCTTATGCTCCAATATTATCTATAGTCATTGCTTCTGCCCGTCCTGTCTGGTGTAAAGCCGAAGAAGAAGAAAAAAAAAGAGCCTGTACACTACACATTTACGGCAAACAGTGAATTTGTCGGTGTGTTTTATGAAGCAATCATTGGTTGGTTTTTTTTATCCCTTTTACCACTCATTTCTTCTCTACACAGCTGCACAAATCTTACCAAGCCTATTGGTAGCCATAAAAACAATATCAACGCTCCATCTGCTTCCTACTTTCTTTAGCCTCTCAGATATTCAATGAATGCACGGTACACGTACGATGTTTCCTCCTATAGTTTTCTTTGACCATGTTCGCTTGGACTAAACCTAATGTACTTTGTTAATTGTTCAGCGACAGAGGCCAGTGCAACAACTTGGTAACCAATATCAAATGGGTGCACAACTTGTGCGTTTAAGCTATCACTCATCTAGTGCTACAATTTCCTGATGACCGACTTGAGGTAAAATATGGCTATGCTGTTTTATACAAATTTAGCAGAAGTTTTGAAGATCTTTGAGATTACAGCGTACGCGGTTCATCACGTTAACGGAATGGCTGAAAATAGCATTTTACTATTCGAAGTCATACTCAGGTAATGCTCTGACCTCCTTCATTTAAGTTAAAATTTTCGCTAACTGAGGATTACCGCAACTGCAAAGTCCTCATCACTACCGAAAATTGTGAACGCCTTCACACCAAAAACTTTTCATAATAAAATCAAGCAAAGTGTTTTTAATATGCTCGTAAATCTTGCTAGGGAATAACTTGGATCAGAACTGGACCAACCTTGGAACCTATACATATTACGAATTTCAGCATACAAACGCCATCCTAGAAACCTACCAGCGTCGGCATTCTTTGTGCGGGAAGAGCTTCGAAAAAATATCCCGTAGAAAGGCGATGTTTACTGGTGAAATCCGTCTCTTGCCCTTGTTTGTTAGTGCAGTAATAAATGCAGTTTATGTATGTACTTTATGACTGAACGGAGAAGCTTATGACTGAACGCAGAAATCCTCGTGCGGCATAAAGTAATACAGGTCTTCAGTATGCGTAACAGAAGTTCAACAGCCAACGACATCCCCTTCTGAAAGAAATAGAACTAGCGTGTGAGAATTACGCATACGGAAATAGTCTGAAACACTCAAAGGTGTCAATGAGAGCCAACAGACAGACCCTGGCATAACTGTTTGTTAGTTCACATTGCTATTATGTTTAACAGAGAAAAACGAGCCCTTGAAATTACGCTTTCATTCATTCAAAGAAGGAAGGATAGAAAAATTTTGTTGAAAAAAGGCTTGCATGATTTCCGGCCCAGGCCCAGGCTCAGGCCATCTGGATATTTTTTGCAGTGAGTTGAAGACATTACACTGATCTCCGGGCCCGATGGATTGCCCACAGTTGGCTACGGCACTTCTGCAAATAACTATATTGATTCTTTCGCGAGAAAGATGAAGTGGCAGCACGCAAGGAGGAAGAAAAAAGTAATCAAAGTGTCAGAAGCGTCCTAATGACGTCCGTCATTTTTACTAGAAGCCTCTTTTATTCACCTCGACGCGATTCAAGTTATTTCATGGTTGTTCTATGCAATATGCCATCGCATTTTAACGCAATAGTGTTTAAGTGCTAGTTTCGCAGAAATTCAGGTGCCGGGCTGTGATCAAAAAATCATCTTTCTTGCGGGGCCAAAAAATCAAGATTCAATTCAAATAAGTCATACCATCTGCGTCTGCGGAAGGGTCGAACCCAGGTTGTTTCGGTGGCCAGCGTGTGTTTTACCCCGGAGGCACACTTCTGCTTCAAAAGTATCTGAAAAACACTTCCTCTGCTTTGAAATGCAGTGAAATTAACTTCCATACTTTACAAACGCATGCACCCCGTGTGCATGCCTCACATTGTAACATGTATTATCACAGTAATAATGCGTGGTACAAGCGTATCTTGCGATCGGGCATCAGGATATGATTGTCAATGACTTCATGTATTAAAGCGGGCACCCCACTAGATAGAAACACATCTTACTGCACAATTTCCCTTGATGAAACGTAATGGGCGCGTAGCATGCTCAAAAATATTTCACGCGCACACTAGTTCATTGTTTAAATTATTCTACCCATTACACAGAATGCAGCCGTATGTAAACGATTCACTGACACAAGGAATTCTGGACACAGTACGCACTAGAGACAGGATATCGCTATCGCGTTCAACCCTCAAAGGCGTAGCTTCCCACTGGTTGATTCATTGATTTTGGGTGATTAATGTACCAAAACCACCATATGACTATGAGAGACGCCGTAGTGCAGGGCTCCGGAAGTTTTGACCACACTCTAAAAAAAGAGCGAGAATGCATGAAACGGGCTCCGTTCCTCCTTCGGCGCAGCGAATTCCTCCATTTCGGGCGCTTTACCCGTCGCGCCCTCTCGCGGCTAGGACCAAAGGAGCAACGTTCATCCTTCAGCGTTCAAGTTTCTCCTATATCACGGAGGTCTTGCTCGCGCGTATGCGCACGCCAAGCCTATAGCCGGCCGCGGCCAGTCGCGAGCGATTGCTTTTACCTAAGATTGTTGTAATCAATGCAGGAGTGACGTTTTCTTTTCTTTTATTAGTGTAGAGTAAAAGCCTCTCTTTTTTTCATCGTCAGGCACTCGCACGATGCTCCGCACACTTCCATGTGTGTCTCGTGTTATTTCATACTACCAATTTGTCACGAATACAAGAGGCTCTGCTTCCCAAGCAGTCTTGCTTTATCGATTACCTTAGAGTGTAAAAAAATAATGATTTTTTTGGTGTCGACATACTTGGTAAGCCCACGCATTTTTAGTTTCGCACGGCACCAACAGCACTCATGAATTCAACGAGGCGCGTAAAAAACATCACACCTAATTTTTCATCATTCTAGGAAACCTGATACCACTCTACAGTCCATGCGTGAAAATACGATCATATACAATTGATAGAGTTATACCAGCCACTACCGCCATATGGATGTTCTTTGCAGTTTACCACCATTCGAATACGGCCGCCGTGGCCGGAAGTCGAACTTGCGTCTTTCAGCATAGTCACCCGACACCCAATAAGGCTACGCTACCACGGCAGGTGAAAGCACAAAGGAAACAGGCTGCGAAGTTTCACCGAGTGTTTATTCGCCACGCTAGATTATAACCATCAGAAACTTTTTAAACATCATCATAACTAAACTTTTGTGAAAAAGATTCTGTAGGTTAAACCGAATTCTGAGTCGCATTCCTTTTGAATTGCCCATGCCAGCACTGAAAAGTAGGAAGGAATTATGAACGCGTGCAGTATGCCTTTCTCGTCCATGTCCTTTGTCGTGAGAAACTCAACACAAACTGCAGTTTGAGTCACAGCTGTGCACAGCAAGTAAGTACTAATGCTCACTCACCTTTGTGAAAAGAGTATTCCAAATCCAGAGTAATACCTACCACAGCCACAGCGCTAACAACAAAACTGTGGCACGCACTATGATCGCCGGTTGACAGGCGAATCGTGAGAGGCATCTGAAGCAGAAAAGTATGCAGACACAACAGTCTATAAAGTTATAGTGAACTTGCGCACTGCAGCGATAGTTCCTCCACTCAAGTATTAGAGCTGCCGCGACGCCAACAGCCACTGTCATAGCTCACGAAAAAATACCGTCAGATGCGATGTCATCGCTTATTTCTCTCGCTAGACCCGCGTTGTAACGTACGTGTACACTGCTAGGACGGTCGTTACCGCATCAAAAACCTTGTCATTGAAGGGCTAGTGGTGTACTGTATCCATGGCTAATGGTCACACTTGTGGTACGCGCGTAAAAAGAATATAAGCAAACGTTAAGACGAAGCAACTAAACGAGGTCGACGTGACCACAGAACACCTACCACGACGGAGACAAAGTTTGGTCTGCATGCTGCGCCCTCTCCAAGTAACAAGAAGAAAAAAAAAACGTGACCTCCAAAATGGCTAACGCGCGGCAAGTGTTTGCACTCTCGGAGGCTTCGAGAAAAAAAAAGTAACTGTGGCAGTGGTCGACAGAAGGCGCAGCGTTCGGAATGCCGTGGGCGTTCTATGCAAGGCCTGGGGGTGTCCGCCTTCGTGAAAACCTGATAAGCTCTAGTAATTATTCCGTTCAGTATTGTG